TTATAGGTAAAGCCATCATCGAGAAGTAGAGAACTATCAAATTGGATGAAGGAAGAGGGGGGATCTTAAGAATAAAGCCTCTATTCTATCTACTCGTGAAGCTTTTGCTGAAGTTTGAAGAGAGGAGATTAGAAATACATTTATGATGATTGGAAATGGGAGTTCGCCAGGTGCTGAAAGCTCAACTCTGCAATCCAATAATTCTTCCCATGACTCAAATTTCAAGAACAATCATCCTCATATATGACTATTGCATGAAAATTGGGCATCTTAAAGACAAATATTAGAAGTTCTATGTAAAACTTGCAGATTGGAAACTTGAACATGAAGATTAAGGAGCAAGGCTAATGCTGCTACTGCATCTGAAGGGTCGGCTAACCCATTCACTAAGGAACATCTTGAAATACTAAAATGTTCCTTGGAAGTAATTCAGAACAAGACACCTGCGTCATGACACATTAATGTAATATATCTTATTCCCATCTTGCCAAGAATTGGAGATTTAGACCTTAGATCATAGATTTATGAGCTTCTGATCATATGATTGAAGACATCAATGTTTTAGTCAGCTATGAAGTGGCTTCAACATCTGGGTCTGTCAGACTTGCAGATGGATCACTCTAAAAAGTTATTGAAAAAGAAGATGTTGAGCACTATTAGGAAAGTACTATTTCGTCTGTTTTATATGTTCCACAGTTGGATAGTAATTTAATTTCAATCAATAAGCTTATTCATGATGTGAAATGTATAACTAAATTTTTTGCAAATTCCTGTGAATTATAGGTGGTAGATTTGGGACCTAGATTGAAAACACTGAAATGCATCAAGGTTTTTGCCTTCTCATGGAAAGCCTCTCTTTAAACACCCAAGTCATGTCATATCCATTTTTTTTTATGTATTTAAGTCTGTTGAGCCTCTGTTTGTTGAAATATAAGTCATGTTATGACATCATTGCCCGGTTCATCCTAATTTCAATTATGTTGCAAAATTATATCTTTATTTGTATCAATGAAAAATCTTATATTTATCAATGTGTGATTTGTCAACTTGGCAAACACACTAGAAATGTTTATTCTATTATCAAGTATAAACCTTCACATCATTTCTCTTTTATTCACAGTGATATTTGGGTACCTTCAAAAATAATAACTATAACTGGGCTAGATGGTTTGTCTCATTCATTAACGATCACACTAGAATCACTTGGGTATTTCTATGAAAGAGAAATCTGAATCAACCAAAAATTTTCAAACTTTTCATGACATGATATAAATTCAATTCCAATGCAAAATTCAGATCCTTAAAATTGATAATATAAAGGAGTATTTCAACTCTATCGTTGAATTTTGCTTTTTCAAAAAATGAAATCATGTAAGTAAGTTCACATATTGATATTCTGCAACAAAATGGGACGACTGAAAGAATGAACAAACATATCCTCAAGGTATCCCACTTAATTATAATTTTCTATCAAGTTCCAAAATATTTTTGGCGGGAAGTTCTTACTGCAACATACCTTATTAATTGGATGCCTAGCCATGTACTTAATTTCAAAGTACCAAAGTTTTCTCTTCTACTGCACCACTTAAAATTTTTGGTTGTGTATCTTTTGTTCATATCCATTCCTCAAGCATAATATTTGACCCTAAATACATGAGCGTATGCCTCGAACAAAAAAAAGGTTATAAATGCTACTCTCATGTTACTAGAAAATAGTACAACTCCATGAATTTCAAATTTTTTAAAAAATAATCATACTATCTCAAATCAAATGTTCAGGGAAAAATTGCAAATGAACATCAATTTTGGGATGCACTTAATGACACTTACACTATCTCACAACCTACCACGCATGAAAATATTCTATTTGAGGATGTTCAACTAACTCAATCTGAAGTTCTTAACAAAGAACTTTATGTGTACACAAGGAGAAAGAAAACTCTTGAGTTGGTGGAAGAGAACTTGCAAAGACAGAACTGTTCAAGCCAAAAACTTGAGCGGAGACTGCGCCATCTTTATATAAAAAATGTCTTCCTGAATGGGAATCTTCAAGAAGAACGGTACAAGGAGATATCACTAGGACTTGAGAATGATTCCAACAAACCCCTATTATGCAAGCTTATGAAGTCTCTCTATGGGCTTAAGCAATTACTAGTGCTATGATTTGAAAGGTTTGCTAAAACTATGGATCTAATTGGTATTCTCAAGATCAAACCGATCATACATTGTTCATAAAGTACACTTAGGAGGTAAGATTGCTGCATTGATAATATATGTGAATGATTTGATTCTTATTGATGATGATTAAAGGGAAGTTTTTAAAATCAAAGAAGTGCTTGCCACTGAGTTTGAAATTAAGAACATAGGAACCATGAGATATCTCCTAGGTATGGATGCGTCAAGTTCAAAGAGGGTCATTGTTATATCTCAAAGAAAATATATCTTTGTTTTGCTAAAGGAGATAGGGATGATTGGATGCAAATCTGCTGATACTCCAATAAATCCCAACAAGAAGTTTAATATAAGAGGAAAAAATATATCTATTGATATGAGAAAATATCAAAGATTAGTAGGAAAACTCATCTACCTGTCATACTAGGCTAGATATTGCATTGTGAGCCAACATATGAATAACCTAAATGAAGTGTTTTACAGGATTCTGTGATTTCTCAAGAATACTCTGGTTATGTATTACTTTTTTAGCGAACCAAAAACAAAGAGGTAGAAGTCTACACTGATGCAAGTTGGGCTAGTGAATACACTGACAGGAGGTCCACCATTAGTTATTGGTTCAATGTATGATGAAATTTGGTCACATGGAGAATTATGAAATAAGCTGCTTTCTATAGAAACATTGCATAATCAGAGTATAGGACACTTGTCTTAGGAATTTGTGATCTAAATTTAGGAATTGTTGATGGAATTGAGGTGTACCTCTAATAGGCCGATACAAATGTTTTGTGATTGTCAAAACAACTATTAGTATTGTTAAGAATTTTGTGCATCATGACATGATCAAACATATCGAACCTATTGAAATTGATAAACATTTTATCTCTGAAAATGTTAATGGTGGAACGGTACAACTAAGCTATATCCCGATACACCTATAAGTTGCTGATGTCTTTGCCAAAGCTCTTCCTTCAAGCAACTTCCTAGAGTTAAATACCAAATTTAGTCTCTACAACATCTATGATCCAGCTTTAAGGGGAGTGGAAATCAAGGAGGATCAAGCTTATTTTCATGGAGGGCCCAGGCCGACCATCCAAGGAGTGATGGATGGATTAATTGGAGACAATTTGATAAACTCCTTGGTTACTTTTTATTCTCTTCCTATTTATGTTTATTTCAAAATTATTTTGTTTTCATGTTTAGGCTAGATATATTTGGTAAGATTGTAAATTATTAGAGACCGATTTCCATATACATGTAGTTTTATGATTAAAGATTGAGAATGAGAATTGAGTGACTATTCCCACTCACAATTTTTCTTCAGAAATCCGAAAAACCAAGAACATTAATGAAAATTAAAAAATAAAATCAATGATGTTGATGATTACAACTTCGATTACATAAATTTTTATTCAAAAGAATTTATAAAATGCAAAAATTTGCCAAAAAAGAATCCCTATGCAAATAAAGCAAAATATTTTTGGTTTTAAATAGAAAATACATTGTTACAGACAAGAATAGAGATGTGCTGCTGGAGGTGATGTGCAAGAAGCAATGTTGCGGGGAAAGAATGATTGGTTAGAAGTTATGGGGATGGCAAAAATGCTCCAATGGAGACATTGACGTTGTTGTGCTTTAGAAGTTGCGTGGGGATGGACTATAAGCAGCATGTGTGTTAGAAGCACCAGGCTGTCGGGTAGAAACCAATAATTTAAAATATTTAGAAGGTTTATTAAGTATTTTTTTTATAATTTTTTTAAGCATCCTAACCCTAATATTTTGAGACGCTCAACTGAACTTAATTGTGCTGAGGGATGTCTTATCCATGAAGCATCTTATCATATTTCCCAACAAGGTGCACACCTCATGGTAAAAAATGTGGAAAAGTGCTGAAGTCATGACTTTTATTATGCAATTTTTAGTAACAGTTTTAGATTATTTACAATGAAGGATATTTTCGGTCAGACAAGTTAATAATTAATTGATATAATCAAATCATGAAGATTTTGGACCTTCCTTTTTCTTTATAAATTAATGTTGTAATGTATATTTTAATGTTTATAAAAATGGTGTGTTGTATTAGAATATCATGTAAATTCATATAAGTTGTTGTTTGCATGCAATGAGGGAAAAATTTTGTAGCTTTATCCTATTAGGGTTTTTTGGTAAGTTTCCTATAGACGTTATTTGTATCTCTCTTGATATTTGTGTGCGCTAATTTGCTGTATAAGTTTTTAACTCCACAATGTATATAATTTATGCTAACATCTTGTGAAAGACTTTACCATGCAGTAAAAAACTATCGTAACGCAATAAATATATCAGATAGTCTGTAGTAATGCAAATCCAATTAATTTTGGAGCCTTTCCCCTATTTTTATCACTTTTTTTGATAATTTTGGTGAAATATTGCAGTTTTGGTAGCTGGCCTTGTACAAGTCTTATTAAGAAAACATGCCACTCTCTTTGAGCCTGGGTTAAAACTCTCTAGTTCTGTATAATGAATTTCTGAAATTTATGTTGAGTTATTCTAGACAAACATATTTTTATGATAAAATGAGTACACAACTAATTTAGAATTGAAAACAATCACTTTATAATGCTTAACATTCATTCCTTTTTATATTATATTTGAACTCAACTAACGATATTTTTATGAACACTAACGCTTATAGAGCTGTATTTAGAAAACACTACTCCATTTGTGAATTTTTGAGGTAATGATTCCTTAGTTCTTATGCATGCATCTTGTTATTATTGTCATAACATGCTTTTTCTTGCGCAGCCTCAAATGTCAGTGTGATTTTTCAGGTGAAAGATTTTCTGAAATTGTGGGAAGTCCATATTACATGGCTCCTGAAGTTCTTAAACGGAATTACGGGCAAGAAATAGACATATGGAGCGCTGGAGTCATTCTCTATATTCTTTATGTGGAGTTCCACCATTTTGGGCCGGTAAAGTGTCTATGTAGCCCACTTCTTGTAGCACAGTGCATTACTACCTTTTTCGTGGATTTTTGGGGAAAATAATATCCATTTTTCTTATAGACAATACTTTACTTTTATCGTAATTTCAGAAACTGAACAAGGAGTTGCACAAGCAATTCTCCGTGGAAATTTAGATTTTAAGCGAGAACCATGGCCAAATGTTTCAGAAAATGCAAAGGATCTTGTTCGTCAGATGCTGGAACCTGATCCAAAAAAAAGGCTAATAGCTAAGCAAGTTCTAGGTACTGTTTGCATCTTTTCTAAGTCTCTAAAATTACGATGGGTTTTTTTTGTCTAAATTTAGGGCTTATGTTAACACTGCCAGTAGGAATTGAAGTATTAAATTTTATTTTTTACCAGCTTAGTACTAGTAAAGTTTCTTTTATTACGAATATCCAATGCTTTAATTGTCATATTGGTACCTGTACTGGATGTTTAGTATGGACTTCCTTTAATATAGCTTTACTTTTAACCTGTAATTCAGTTCATCGTTGAACATATTTGAGTAACAGATTGAGTGAGCAACAGCAAAATTATATCCAAATTCATGTGCTTATTTGTAGAATCACTTGATTTCTTCATTTCTTCCCATCAGAAGTTGCAAAATTGCTAGTGATCTTCTATCAGTTTGAGGCACTGCTTGAGTAGCATTTCAGCAGTTCCATCTTCATTTTAGGTGAATTATTTGTATCAATCTTATCATATCACTTAATTTGGATGCTTTAAACAAAGCCCCAAATCACCGATGCTGTTAATATACTGCAACATTACTTTGGTAGGTGTATGATATCAGATGGAGAAACTAGATGTTTTTTATTTGTTATATATTTTAATTGAAAAAGGAACATTTGCCCAATTACTATGAAATCGCCACTGTCAATACTTATGAAATTCCCAGTAATACTCTTTGTATGGAATAAATCAAGTCATTTTAGGCACCAACCAAGTCACCAATATTAGTTCAGTTTTAAGATGAATCATTTATGGTTCATGTCATTCTAATTTAGGCCAAGAATATTGTATGGATCCAAATGTTGGGTCTACAAAAGCCATTTGTATTTAAGTTAAACGTTACATATAGCAACAACAAGCCTTTATCCCACTAATTGCGGTCGGCTACATAAATCCTTTTTCTCCATTTCGTTCTATTGAGTGTCATAATTTCATAAATAGTTTTTTGGACAACATGCCTAAGTCCCTTTAGGTCTACCTCTACCTTTCTTAACATAAGTTAAATCTAAAAGATCCACTCTTCTAACTGAGTCATCAGATGCTCGATGTTTAATATTAACCAACCATCCTACGAGTCTCTCTAATCTTGTAGGTCACTATAACAATACCAACTCTTTCACGGTTATATTCATTTTGCTTTTTGTCTCTGTGTAAAGCCACTCATCCACTCTAGCATTCTCATCTCAACACAACTTAATTTTATGCTTCTCTTTTACAGGCCAATATTCTATGCCATAAGCATTGCTAGTCTCATCACCATCTTATAAAATTTTCTGTAAATCTAAGAGGTAGTTTTTTGTCACACCATAAGTAGGTGTCAGTCGTTATTTTTTGAAAAGAAATGATTTTTATTAAATATGAAAATAGTTTTGATGTAAATATGATCTTTGAAAGTAACATTTTAATTTAGAAATAGATGAGACCAAACGAGTCCCACATATTGAATAGTTTGGATATATGAGTGCGATACCACTAGTAATACACTACCCCGAAGGATAAGCATACCACTTAACAGTAGGCTCAACCACTTAAACTAAGGAGTTTGTGACATCCGTTTGGTTTGCAAGACCTTTTATAAATGACCGGCAAGTTCCCCTACCTAATATAATGATTAGATAAAGTTTATTTTACCTGGGTTTCAAGTTCTCTATTGTGGCAAACCCCTATAATTAATTACATCTTAAATGACCGGGGTCATTTAAGAAAACTCTCAATTAAGATCAGTGGTTTTGCCTTCCAGATTTCAAAGTTTAGGTTTCCAAGATTGAACACAGGAAAAATCAAATGGGAGTGACTCAAACAGGAACAGTTATTTTAAGGAATCCAAAGGAATGAAGAGTAGGGAATATCACAGATCTAGGGGAAACCTTGCTGATTTCCCAACTATCCTATTGTTTGGCTTTATGTTTTTGAAATAATGTTATTCAATGTTTAATCTTGCAATTTCTTTTAGAATTTAAGACTAATATTCACATGATATTTGGTCGTACAAATGACCTAGAAGGATAGGATTATTTACACCATACTGTACGGTAATCTCAGAATCCTAAACGTGTTAGGACTTAAATTGCACAACGAGGTTGTGCAAAAGCCTAAAGATAATATGTGAGGATTTATGTTGCGCTAAGCAGACTACCTCAGAATTCTATGACTTAGTATCTAAACTAAGGAAAATGTTTAATTGACGTGAACTTGTTTTGATGTTGCAGATCCATCTCGAAGTTGCTCTTCTGTGTGTCCTCGTCGTTGCACCTTCGGATTTGATGTTAATTTTAAGGTACATGCAATGTTTAGTCAACGATCTGCTGCTAGGTACCTCCTATGAAACTAACTACTAACCTCATACTCTATGGTATAGTGTGTAAAAGAAATAGTAGCAGGTGCAAGTATAGTAACAGAATTTAAGAAATGAGCTAGCATACGTTGTATCAACAAAAGAAATACCAACTCAAGAAAGGGTGGCAAATGACCCACGACAAAAGAAAACTCAAGAAAATTGGCAAATTACTAACGACGGAAACCTCGAAGCAAAAAAAAAGTAAATGACAACTCAAAGAAAGTCACTGAAACACGGGAAGATCCCGGAAAAAGACCACGAGTGCTTTACCAAAAGTTCCAATAAAATCACACGAAAAATCCGAAGAAAGAAAACCGCAAGCACTCGGGTTGGAGCTAGACTCAGATACTATATATTTATACTTGAGGGACGTCAAAAACTACTATTGGTCACCCGGATGTATAAAGTCCGCCACTCAACTAGAAGGGTGTCCTACTAAACCTAACTTAGGAGGGTATTCTTTAGTCCGGTACTGGTAATCCACAAGTGGACAATCAAGTTACAATACATTTAAAATTTATATTTTAGCCTACACATGGATTTCAGACATACAAAAGGAAGTTGTATCAATTTTATAGTAAAACTATTTTTTATTAATATTGTATCTGCTCTTATCATGTTTTGTTCTTATCAGTTTTGTAAAATTATGATTGTCCACCAGTCGTTCAAGCTATTGGGCGTAGGACCGCTAACAACCTAAGAAGGTACGGGTCCCCAGCTAGTCTTGTGTCGGTGAGTGATACTATAATCCTATGTTCATCAGGTCTCACGATTGGGTCCTGATGTCGTAGGATGGAATATCATTCCGCTCTACCACCGGCATGCCTTTGTCATCACCGTCCGTCCTAAGCCCCAAAAACAAAAAAAATCAACCTACTTGCGACCTTGCTTGATGATTTCATATATAACAAAATGCTATATATGTGCGCTTATGCATCAGACATAAGCACCAAAAGCATAAACCAAGAAGCAAGGAAAGCAAACCAATAATCAAGAAAATAAAAAAAAAAGACCAACCCTCTTCCAAAACAAATTTAGAAAAGAAAAGTCAAAGCGGCAAGAGAGTTAGCCTAAAAGATCCGACTGGCGGGACTTTCTCGAATGAGTAGAAGAGGCAAAATACACTCCCCCTGCTAGCCATGAAATATCTCCAAAAGATAAAACTTAGAAAATTCTCAATCATTCTCAAATATCAGGAAATTCTTCATCTTTTTTATATATTATCTTTTTTTTCTTCTTCTTTTTTTTATTGCAAATGATTTATTCCGCAGAATTGGGCCCCAAAACATTTCCAAACATCTAACAATCATTCCTTGAAAAAGAGCATTTTTGAATTCTTTTAAACATTAAGAATTGACAAATTTTATTTCACCAACATCAAAATATTCAATTTCACATCAAATTAAAAAGAGTTCCAATGCCACATGAACCTCACACCGTCCAAAGGATCGCACATAAGTACTCATGACCACCGGGGCAGCAAAGAAAACCCAGCCAAAATAGGCTCATGGGTAAGGGCAACAAGAGAAGCCCACCCAAGCCCAACTCACGGGCAAAGGCACCAAGGAGGGACCAAGAGCACAGAGAGGAAATCGACCATAAAGCTCACTGACAAAGGCACCAAGGAGGGGAAGCCGAGCCCAAATTAAAACTATAATAGGATCACAGATAGACACAACAGAAAAGTCTCAACCCAGCCCCACAACAACACATTCAACCCAGTATTCATCACCAAGGCAACAGGAAACATTCAAATAGAACAGAAGAATACTGCAAGGAGTGCTCACAGCCAGGAACATCCAGAGAGGCCACCAACTCCAATCCAGGCAGGGGTAGCAGCCAAAAGGGCAAACCGAGCCCAACATAAGGGAAATCACAATTAGGTGCTTTCGGGTATGAGCAGCCAGAGGAACCACCAAAAAGGTGCACAAAGGAACTAACAGACACAAACAAGGGCTCTCGGGTAGGAGCAGCCAGAGGAACCACCAAACCAAAACCAACAGCTACCAGCTCACGGGTAAGGACAACCAAAGGGGGAAGCCACCAGCTAACATCCAACACAAACAAGAGAACACAACAGGGAGGCTTACGACCAGGGGAAGCAACAAAGGGCCCTAAAATAAGCCCCAAAAGCTTCAACACAGGGAAGCAACAAGGAACAAAAATAAACCCTCCTGAAATAAATTTTAAAAGCTCTCGAAAAACAACATTTCATCCAACATATGATTCAAATAGAGGGGTAGCAGCAGGAAATAAAGTCAAGCCCCAAAACCGACTACTCAAGGCACTAGACAGATTCCAACATATATTCGAACTGGGGTAGCAGGCTTAAGGAGCAAATCCAAACCACAAAACCGATTTATTAAAGCATTAAAATGGGCTCCAACATATATTTGAATAGGGGAAATATCAAGAGATAAAACGAAGCATCTGAAATCAAATTCTTTAAAATCTAAACAGATTCCAACATTATTTTGAATAAGGGTAGCATCTGTAAGGAACAAAAACAAAACTCAAAGCAACTACAAAAGGCCTTAGAAACCAAATTTCAGCTGTTCATGCATTTCGAACGTAGAAGGCAACAAAGAAACAACAAAACAAAGCCCCAAACATCAAACCCCAAGCCAAGACATACATTTCATTAGAATAGGGCTCAACATTATTAAAACCGAG